CCCCCCCCCCCCCACCTCCTTTCCGTCCCTTTTTTAAGATTGACAGAGAGCGAAGAATAATGGCCAAACTGACCTTTTTGCATATGACCAGCGGTCCCACCAATCCACTGTTTGTGTCCTTTATAGGATCGACATCAGAGTAATAAGCCCACGTGACACAGGTTGGACCATTCGGTCCAGGACCCGCGCGTTCAGGAACTTGCCATTTGTAGATGAAGGTTTTGCCGGGATTAATTGCGTTGTCGATTTTGTCATCTTGTGATGTCTCATCATCATAATTTGAACCCTCGTTTTTTTTCCTACGAGAAAACAAGGTTCATGAAAGAAATTAAATTTTCATGCCATCTGATTTCTCAGTTACCCTAAAATAATCCGGTCAAGGCTAAAATCCAGGACTTCTCGAACTGAAATGCGGCGTACTAATACTACTTCCCCTCAACAACTTCAGCACAAGCCAGTGTTTTGACTTACGTGTAATACAGTCCATGTGGATGCATGGAGAACTTTCTGCTGGCCATATTCTTAAAGGTCACCTCGATTGTGTCTCCAACTTCGGCGTGTAACATGGGACCCAGTACCCCGAGGTGCTTCTCAGCCTCGGTCCTCGTTTTCTGTCGGGTAAACTGGGCACTGGTGTATTCGCGGTATAAAACTTTCTTGTACTTACGGCCAATTCGATTGGCGCTATTGACAGTGAATGTAGCAGCCTCTCTGTGGACAAAGGAGAGAAAAACATATGGCCATACAAAACACTGCTCATAGGAGTTATATAAAACTGAAATGTAGAAAAACCACCTATTTTCACGTTCAATCTCCTCTTTGTATTTAACCTCCTAACCCCACAGACTAGTTTAGTTTTTCCTCATTTAAGCAGCGATAAATTGGGCGATGTTACATGAATCCATTGGCATTCGCTAGATGTTTTAAGTATCTAATTTCGTCACCTCTTTGCTGGTGAATGTACTGAATTGCGGGGAGAAGATAAATGTTAATCGCTTTGGGAGTTTCAAGATATACACTGAACTGATATAATAAAATACGTGTCATGAGGTCAACTATCAGTTGTTTACCTTTTTAGCGGTGTTTTGGATAGAAAGATACTCTATAAGGCGCAAGCTATCAAACTAAAATAAAACTGTGCTTCTAAACTTAGCCTATAAAATCAAAGTGGGCAGTCAGGATAGAATTGGCGAAAGACCCCCAGTCGTATTTTAAAGTGATTTCGACCTTGTTGAGAATAGATCCATCTCTAGCGTCGAGAGTAAAAAATCAGATTAGTGACAAAAAAGGCCACAACGAAAAAGCGGATAGAATCCGTGAGGGACCTCGAGAGGAGGGTTTAATGATTACTGTGTTGCATGACAAGCGCAACAGATAACACTGTACAGTGCACTACATGACAGCGTATACTAACTCGCTATCTTTCAGCGGTTTTCCTTCCAACACGTCTCTTCCAGTGGGCGCGTAGTCCCACTCCTCCTCAACTGCTGCCACATAGTATTGTCGAACAGTCCCAGGAGGCTTTGTGGTGGGCACTTTACCGCAAGGTTTCACCTTATATTTCGCCTGCATGCCAGCTGAATAGTGGTCGTTGGTCCTACAAACTATCGCCCATTCTCCCGGGTTATCAGGAGTCATTTGTAGTGTAGAAAACACCCCTTGAAAAAGAACAAAAAAACTTGCACCATACTCCCGGAAAGCCTCTGGTTTCTTTTCCAGACTGAGTAAAATCTGGTAGGAACTGACAACGGCTTCACTGGTAATACAACTATATTTGGTCGCGAACCCTTTCAAATTTGTGAATATCGTTTCCCATTTAAACATAAAATCCGATCCACTAAGTTAAAATAGGTTTGGTAACTTTCTCTCATCCTTCCACCGCCTCGATTAGTTGCGTTTATGCGGAGAAAAGTATTTTACAATTGGTGGAAATCGATTCTTTTTTTAATTTATTTCATTCTGACTGTTATTGATTGTTTCCAAAATTCTCCGCACAGTAAAAGAAATTCGTTCAGCGAGGATTAGTAAAGAAAAAAAGGACAGTAAAGGAAAACTAAAGCAAGTACGTCGACTAGTGCATAAACGAGAGGAGATTGGTGAAGACCTCTTACGACCTCTCACCTCAGTTCCATTCTTCGCCCCACAGATATTTTGCTGGGGGCAAAAACTAACCGATACTCCGCGGGGGGTGGGTGGGTATAACAAAGAAATCTGCTCACGTCGAGGTGTGGCAAGGTTAAAACCAAACATATAGAGAAGGCACCTAAATTGCAGATAGAAACCAATTTCACAAGTAAACACCGATTTATCACAGTTTGGTTTCATCGTTTTCCGTCCCCACTGCAGAAAATTAAACTAAAAGAAAGCAGACGAGCATCGCTTTCCTTCTTTCTCTCTGCTTCATTACCTGGCAGGAGGCTGACTGTATCCTTCATCTGACCGTTTTCAGAAAAAGTATTTCCGTAAAAGTAAGCTGTGTGCATGTCTACTTCATTTCCGAGGCCGATCAAGTGCCAAGACACTTTGTCCCCAAGACAGACTTCTAGACCAGGAAGGTTAGCGTATAGATATCCATTTATACCATGCATCAGGTTGCTTTCAAGGTAATCTTCATCCTCTGCAAGAGCCAAGCAGAATACATAATTTGAGATGAGGAATTCCGACGAGCCACATTTAGAAGCTATCAAATTCGGGCAGAAAAGCTGCATGAATTCATGTCCGTCTACTTATCTGCCTCACTGCTAGTCTACTGCTGGTTTTTCCCTCCCTTTTTGACTGCCCGCCTATTTTTCTGTCTATCTGTGATTCCGTCTGCTTGTTTGTCTGGGTCTCCCTGTAGTGTCTGTCCTATTGTTGGTGCGTGTTCTACATAATGGCCCGGGAAGCCTTTCCAGTCTGAAAGACGCAGACTTTGGGACAGATCGAAAATATTATAATTTGAACTATGTTATGGAATTTTGCGCTACCATTATGTTCACGGAATAGGAAGTCTAAACAAACATTGCGAAAAGAAAGAAAGCAAAAGAAAATAAAAAGAATCACTTATGTCCGAAGTAATGAACCCTAAGACCACTGATATCGATGAGGATCTCAGCCAATTACTGATCCCGACGAATAACTTAAGATTAAAAGCGACCACAACTAGCGATTGATCATCACTGTCAATCAAGGTCGATATCGGAAGATAACTGACGTCATTGACGATCAAAGTCGATCAGTAACGAGCTCTGACGATCACTGACGATTCTCGGTGATCCTCCGACTATAATATTCTCCGTACCATCGTTAATTTGGCTAGGATCATTCGCTCTCTTCTTGTTCTTCTCATGATACCAAGAGGCGCTTTCGTCGGTTACAGTAAACAGCAGCACGAATTCATGGTCGACGTTCTTTTGTGTGTTGTCGTCCTTCAATGATCCCTTTTTACAAGTCAACAGTGGACCAAAAAGACCTTGAAAGCAACAACAACAAATCAATATTTACTAACAAATCAAAAATGTTTTAAAGAGTCTAATTCCAAGTGATCCCTGAAAATTAAACAATTTATCATAAAGTATTATCAACTGAGTTGATAATGTAAATTGGCCACCGTAAAGAGTTTAAAAGTTGACGTTTCGAGGTTAGCCCTTCGTCTATCGCTCTGACTAAGGGCTAACGCCCGAAACGTCAGCTTTAAAACTCTTTACGGTGGCCAATTTACGCTATCAACTCAGTTGACAATCCTTAATTACCCTGTTATACTCTCCCACCGACGCAGCACCACATTATATTTAGAAACTTACCCCCTTTATTCATTGACTTATTTGTAGACACGTTCGTCCTCAAAATTTCTAAAACACAGTTGACGTTCATTTTCAGTTTACCTAAGTTCCAGGGTACTCAATACACACTCACCAGAATAAGTGTCTTTAACTGGATCCACACTGGAATAGTACAACCACGTGATGCACTGAGAGTCACTCATACTTGGACCCACTTCCTTGGGCACAGTCCACCGGTAAGTATACTTCTGACCTGGTCGCACAATATCGTCCGCCTTTTGAGCCCCGGATGTTCTATCTTGGTACAAGGCTCCCTCATTTGACTTGTTGAAGAAAACTCCATGCGGCTGAATACTGTAGTTGTGATTTGCCTATCCAAAGAGTTAAACTAACTAAGAAACAATGGCGAAAGGTGGGTAAACATAACAATTCTTTTTTCTCTCAATGCGGGACAAAAAAACTTGGGAAGACTCAGGGTTTTATTCCATCATAGAGAACTTTTTTTCTCAACCCACAGATGATTCGCGCAGACGAGGGTCGAGAGAAAGCTGGTGGGTAATGGCCCACGAACAAATTGCAAGACGTCTTCGTTCGCGAACACTACTCGAGATCCCATTTTTCCTATGTAACGTTTATCCTGTGACTTGAGGTAGGGTTTTTTTTTTCGGGTGGGGGAAGGGTGGGATTTACCCTACTTGAAGCACTATGCAATTGAGCCTTTCCTTCATTGCGCTCTGTGATTGTTCAATCAACAAAACCTGCGCCATTCTCTCCACCAATCCAACTTCGACTTGAACTTAATCCAATTGTAACTTGATCTCTTGCATCCTCATTTCAAATTGGCATGGTTTTGGTTTAAAAGCGAAAAGCGTTTAGTTCCCTGAAAGTTGTTAGTTTTGCCACAAAAGTCAAGAAAGGCTTTAGAAATAAATCACATCCCAGCTTTCTTACATTGTTCTTAAACACGACCTCGATCACATCACCAACTTCTGCCCGGATCACAGGCCCAAGAAACCCGAGATGTTTCGGTTTTTCCTTCTTCACGGAAAAAGTACTGTCGGTATACTCCTCATAGGACGCCTTAGTGTACGTTCCACCGATTCTGTCAACACCTTGAGCAAAGAACACAGCTGAGCCGCTGACAAAAGAACGAAAATGATATGCGTTACTATCAACAGTGGTCGTAGTGGGTCACACAGTTGCTGGAAAAAACAGCTTTACATAAGGAAAGAATTAAA